CCAGGAAGGTGCATGCCGGGATATAGAGGGGACATTTGTGAACAAAGTAAAAGCAGTTTTGAGATGCATGAAGACATTCTTTATTTATTTATACTTTTTTGTCTTCCTTCGAAAAACTCTTATAGCTCATGATCACATGAACTTTGTATGAGCACCTTTTATTCATCATCTTTCTCTCTGTCTGCCTGTCTATCTTTCTCTTTGTCTGCCTGTCTAACTTTTTTCATTCGGATGAATTTGTCCAATTATCATTTTCTGAAGTACCATTGGGCCAATTTGAAAAGAAAAGATTTAACATTAAGTAATTGTAAACTATTCAAATGAAGGGCAAAATCCTCGTTCAAGTAGAAGTAATCAGGTCAGGATTATTTAACAAAATTCATTCTCAAGTTCCCCATTAATCGGCCCCAAAAAGACGTAAACAACTGAAAACCTAAGGTAGTGATTATTCAAAATTACGACCGAGGAAATAGGATGTGGTTAAATTACAACAGCGGATCAAAGTTTTCAATATATAATTTATTCTAGCAAGATTTTTTTCTTCTTAAAAATCATTATGATTACAATTCACAAAATATCTCCGACAATATTTTGTTTAATTTTAGAGTGGAATGTACGGATTCAAGTGTATGAACACGTGTGATACATGTGTCAATATGTCATGTAATCATATAACTGGGTCATGTGATAGTGGCTGTATTGAGGGCTGGACTGGAAATCTTTGTGTTGAAGGTGAATCGTTTATTAAGGTTTTCAGTTTCAGACGGAAGGCCTTTTAATGATTCTACTAATTCTTCTTTTTCTTCATCTATATCATTATTTTTTCGCCTTTTCTTTTCTGGACGATTTCTCAGAGATGGCTGGACGGATTTTCATAAAATTTCATGAAATTATAGAAAATGATAGAAAGATATGGAGATAACGAACAGTATTCAATATCAAAGTCCATAAAACAATACAAAATAAGAGTAGAGCAAACACGGAACTCCGAACAATCAGAGGTGGCATGGAATCAGGAAGAATCTGTCGTCAATTCAATGTATAAATAATGGACTAACAATTCTTCAAAGAAATCTTCAAATTTTTCAAAAGTCACTTCCGTTCGACAAATATGTCCGATTTCCGTTTTTTTTTTTTTAAATTGTCCGCTTCGTATGTTATAAACAGGAAGAGATTGAATCACTGAAACTTATATGAGTAATAGATCTTGATGAGTAGGCAAGTCCATTTGGGTTAAGATTGTCTGTCGTCACTTCCGGTCCCCAAAGGAAGTGATCAAAGAAATCGAAAATTTCAACTTTTCTTTTTTGAATTTTTTCTTACATCACATTATTGCTTCTCATTTGAAGTTTTGAAATATGTCAGTTCCACCGGAAACAAAAACGACAACTTCCGGTTATGAAAGAAAAATGGCATAATTTGAGTATTATAATACCCCATAAATATCTTTTGTAGAAAAAGTGTTTGAAATAATTTTTGGATATGTTTTTCAGACTGCAAATCTCTTGTGTAGCCTTAAATATCCTTCTAAAATTTACTTCCGGTCGCGTGATTTCCGGTCCGCATAATGAGAAGTCATCATAGCAAAATCTCAGAAACGGTACGAGATTAAGACATATATCTTATACGAGTAACAGATCTTGACGAGTAGACAAATCTATTTGGGTTAAGATTGTTAGCCGTCACTTCCGGTCCCCAAAGGAAGTGATAATAAATATCGAAAATTTCAATTTTGCTTTTTGAAATCTTTTTTGCGTCACATTATTGCCTTTTATATGTAGTTTTGAAATATGTCAGTCCCACCAGATACAAAAACGATAACTTCCGGTTATGAGAGAAAAACTGCATAATCTGAGTATTATGCTACCCCATAAATATCTTTTATAGATAGAATATTTGGTTGATTTTTGGACATGTTATTCAGACTTCAAATGTCTAGAGTAACGTCAAATATCTTTGAAAAATTCACTTCCGATGACGTGATTTCCTGATCTCAAAATATCAACTTATTGCAAGATTTTAGAAACGGTAATAAGACACTGAACGTAAAGGAATTATAAACCTTGAGGAGTACGCTTACCATATTGGGTTAAATGTGTTAGTCATCACTTCCGGTTCTCACAGGAAGTGATCATAGGGATCGGAAAATAAACTTTACTTTTTTGAATATTTTGTTGCATCATTTAATTGCAACTTATATTTGTAGTTCTGAAATATGTTGATCCCATCCCGGAAACAAAAATGTCAACTTCCAGTCATGAGAGAAAATCTACATATTTTGAAAATTTAACTTTCCAAACAATTTGCTTACAAATGAGGTATTTGAAATGATTTTACATAATTATGTTATCAAGATTACAAACGGTTTTAGTAACATCGATAATCTTGGTAAAATACACCTCCGCCCATCTGTTTTTCTGTACTCAGAATGTGAATTCTGTATTTTATTTCTTGTTCTGTTAATATCATTTGTAAATATTATATGTCTGTTTTTAAAACAGAAAAAAAGATATTCAAACAGATAAATAGAGAAGAAAGGAAGACCTTTTTTGTTGCTGTAGCAACAAGAGTTTCTAGTCTTTTTTTTCTTTTCATATGTTCTCTTTTTGACAACAAATAAAAGCAAAATCATTTCTTTTTTTATTTCAGAGTGCTCAGATGGAACGTATGGGTTTCAGTGTAAGAAAACATGTGACACATGTGTTAATATATCATGTGATCATATAACTGGGTCATGTGACATTGGTTGTATGGATGGATGGACTGGGGATCTTTGTGTGGAAGGTGAATAGTTTTTTTCTCACTCCTCCATTGCACCTGATCCTACCTCTGATGTTTCGGAGGTCCGTGTTTGCTCTGCTCCTATTTTGTTTTATTTTATGGACTTAGAAAATGAATACTGTTCGTTATCTCCATATCCTACTTCTTTCTTTTTTCTCTTCATGTGTTCACGTTTTGACAAAAAATAACACCAGTATCATTTCGTTTTTGCTTATTTCAGAGTGCTCAAATGGCACGTATGGGTTTAGGTGTAAGAACACATGTGATTCGTGCGTTAAATGTCATGTGATCATATAACTGGATCATGTGACGTAGGCTGTATCGATGGTTGGACTGGAGAAACGTGCGGACAGGGTGAATTGATTCTGCTTTTCTTTCGTTTCTATTCAGGAATTATTTTTTAAAGAAACGCGTTCATTCCAACAACTTTGAAAAAAATGAAACAAAGCTAGCAAATGTCTTGAGATTGTTCAAATTAACGTGTTATTATGCGTATGAATATGATTTTGATAATGTATAAACTATTTTTGGCGCCCGATAAAATTAATATCATGTATAGCTATTTTAATGGCATATATACTGTAAACCAACTTTTATTCGCGTGCGAGAAATTTTCGAGAAGTTCACGAGAGCCTCGTCATCTCGAATATTTCTCGTCGCGAACCGATTCTTAAAGTGTATTTGTCTATTAACAACAGATGCAAAAAGGCTTGATCGCGAAAAATTATCGTAGCGAACTAGTTTATCCTTGGTAAATTGCGAAATAAAGTCGTCGCGAATTAAAGTTGGTTTACAGTATACACGTAGACATAACAAAAAATAGCACATTTCAAACCAAAAAAAAAAAATTTATATTAATGTCCATAATACTTTGCATCTATCAGATTTAGCATGTGATAATTTTAGAAATAGAACAATTCGTAAAATTTCAGTTTGCCCTGAAGGGCAATACGGTCACAACTGTTCTGGACAATGTCAGAATTGTGAAAACGAGACTTGCCATCACGTGACAGGGTCGTGCCAGGGATTATGTAAAGAGGGCTGGATAGGTGACACGTGTCAGGAAGGTAACGTTTAGAAACTACAGCATCATCGCCATAATGAAGACTTAAAATGCAGTATCAAAAATAAAAGCTGAGGTTAAGATTTTGATTAGAAATCGACATACTAATTTGTGAGTAAAGCTACATAATTGATATGCTTCAAAAAGATAAAAAAAAAAATACGTTGCTGATTTAAAATCAAAGTAAAATAAATATTTTATGGTTTTCTTTGGCAAAATAGAGTTACATGTATACAGTGTATGTAGAGATAACTAAGACATAAATAAAGTTATCCAATGCAAATCAAAATCTTTTTTATTTTTTCCATCGTTACTCTTTTTTTAAGTTTCCTTAAAGTTGACGTTTTCAATTTCGTTTTTTCAGCTCTTAAAACCTCTACAGTGATATTCCCTTTTATATATGTATTAAATGGAGCCTGTGGAAGTGTACTGGTGGTTTATATAGTCATAATTATTGTCGTGGTAGTAAGGTAATGTATCTTACTTTTACGTATAGGTAACCTTAGCGTAAGTTTGATAGGATTGATAGTATTAATTTTTTTTTTGACAAAAGTGTTGGTTATATGTTTCAATAATTTTCATTTCAGAAATTTGTTTAGCTTTGGGGAATTTTTTTTATAGTATTTCTTAATCAAAGTTTGATAATGTGAAATTGAGTGTTTGGCATTATAAATAATGATTCAATCGTGCTCAAAGGGACATTTACACCGCTTGAATTGATTATTTAAAAACCAAGTTTAATGTTTAATATTATTCTTTTCTTGTACAATTCTAATGATGAGCAAAAGTTTGAACACCATTTATTGATTTACAAACGAGATACAGAACTGAAAATCCTTCATAATGTAAACAAGATTCGTGTCTTGTTTTGGTTTACATGTAGAAAATATCAAATTTGAAAATAAGATTCTGTCAGTACATCACTTGAAATCGCTAATCGCCGTCATACTATTGAAAAAGCTGCTTTGAATAAGCATATTTTACTATGTTTAAGCAATGTAAACAAAAACATGGCTCGAGCCTTGTTTACAAAACAAAGGTTTGGATTTTTTAATATGTGTTGTATCTAAACAACCGAAATTCGTATTTTGATGATCATTAGAAATACCTTAGTTAAGTATTTATAAATATAAAAAAATTGAATTGTTTTTTAGCTGAAACTTTGTCTAGTGTTTTAACTGTGTTTAAGGCTAATGCAACTTTTATTACGTAAAAATACGTGTAATTATTTTGATACTCAGTAACTGAAGGGGGAAAGAAAAAAATTAAAACTTGGAGAGATACATAAATATATATAAGATTAAAAAAAGTAATGTAATTATTTTGTTTATCATGTTTCCGATTTGTATATTTGTGCGTTTTCTGCTACAAATATTGTTCTACTTCACTGCCTTATTTTATTCAGAAAACGTCAACGAAAACGACCATGTAATTCCAAATTAAATTGTATACGTGAGTGTTTTCAATTATTTATCGTTGCTTTTCCTTAAAAAATTGAAACGTTCTGAAAATGTTCTTTGTATGTTAATTAACATCAACTTCGAGAAATTTTTACTCATATGGATACATCATCACTTGCTGGTGGTTTAAATTCTAATGCTTGGTATTTGTACTAAGGGCCATTGAGGAGTGAACTATCTTTTTCGTGATAACACCTACTGGACCTTGGTTTTCACATTCTCAGTATATGACCAGTCTCCATATCCTTCAGTGCATTTTTACAAATATATTCATTGCTTGCGTAATCTATTTCGCTGTTTTTCTTTTCTGTTCAGGGTGTTCCTCAAAGTAAACTGATATACAGGTATCGCATACGATATCAAAATTTATATTTTGGCTCTTTTTTATGTTTTAATCTTTATTCAGAATATGGATAATATCATTAATTATCATTAATAACAATATATTGATAGGAAAAAACGATTAATATGAATGAGAAGTCAATTGGATAAAATAACTTTAGCTAAAGCACAACGAAGTACTATTGTTTCCGATTTTATTAAAATATTACATACTTAAATAATCAAATTAAAATGATCATCTCAGGACATATTTACTTCTATAAAGGTTAAGTGTTTACGTTTATTACACGAGAGAGCACTTAACTTATATATCCATAAACACTGTAAAAAAAAAAAAAACTAGTTAAAGTCACAAAGAAGATAAGTGGTTCATACAATCAATACCTTAAAAGTATAGTTTTACTAGGTATTGTGTATATAAACTAGATAAGATTAGTAAATCTAGAATTTACAAGTCACTTTCACTAGGTATCAGGGTATCTATACGAACCCTGCTCCACAACTCACAATCGTAACCAGTAAACTGAAAGATTAATAATCACGACAACAAGAAGTTATGGTTTTAGCTTTATTGTGCCCTACAAATGTAATGTCATCAAAAAGTTTTGAAACTGGCTTAAATATTAGTTAGTTATATAAATTTGATAAATCAGGAAAGAATATGGCATGAAGAACCATTACCGTTCTGCAAATAGGACGTCATGAATGTGACACATTTCTCTATTTTAAACAGGAAAAGCCTCAAGACCCATTTCAAGGGTAATTTTCCTTTAGAAAATAGTGTACACAACCGTCGCCCACTTTATTTTTTTTTTTTTTGATATTTTGTGCAAAAGTCAATAATAAAAAATCACATATCTCAAAATCTTTGTGGGCGATGCCTGTGGACATAGTTTTCTGAGAGAAAACTCTATTGAAAGTTGGTGTCTTCTGCTACTTTTCAAGAAAATGGGGGAAAATACACATGTTTATGACATCACAATTAGCATTTAAAAATACATATGAAAAACATGATTTGTTTGATTTTTCTGCATGGAATTAATTCCTATGATTCAGAAAGCACGTTAACATCTTTACACCAGTTTCATTTTTAAGAAAATTACAGGGCAAGATTTATATGGAAACCCCACCTTGTTTTTGACGATGCACACTAGTTAAATTCACTAGGTTTTTCTTTCAATGAATAGAAATATTATTGTCTAAAACAAATAGAAACAAAACAAAACTAGTGCTAATTGTAACGGGAACCGTTACAGATGTTCCCCAAACGCTCCCCAACTCCCTTTTGGTGCCATATTCCCTGTAAGCTTCATTAAATAAGACAAACTCTATGCATTTTCGACTTTAACAACGTTTCCCTTTAAGGATACCAATTATTTTCAAATGTTAATCGCACCCGCGCGCATGTGAATGCAGGTGCGTAATGACTATATCATTTTCCTAAACTATCAATAAATATTTTAATATACTATATGTGAAAGAATTTAGTCCAAAAGTATTAAAAAATCACTCATTCAAGTGTATTTTTAATATCACTAGTTCTAAATGCACGCACGTGCGTACACGTGCATGATAACCAAACCATCTTGTAGGAGTCCGTTATATCTATCTATATTCTAAATTCCATCCTGTTTGGTTGAAAAACAAGGGATTTATAGCCATTTCAAGTTTCAGCCAATCAGATTGCAGTACACGTGCATGCGCGTGATTGCATGATTTTTTTGTTGTTATTGTATTGTAGGACATCCTAATGAATGACTATGTTTTAAATTTCAAAACATTTCTTCAAAAAGCAAAGGAGATATAGCCCTTTCAAGTTTCAGCCAATCAGATTGCAGCACACGTGCATTCGCATGATTTCTTGATTTTTTTGTATATGATATTGCAGGAAATCATAATACATGACTACATTCCAAATTTCAAAGCATTTCATCAAAAAACAAAGGAGATAAAGCCATTTAAATTTTCAGCCAATCAGATTTACGCGCATGCGCATTCACGTGATTTCATGAAAATTTTTATATATCATGCTGTAGGATATTATAATACATGACTATGTTCTAAATTTCAAAGCATTTCGTCAAAAAACAAAAAAGATATTGAGATTTTTGTTTCAGCCAATCAGAGCGAAGTGCACGTGCATGCGCGCGAGTTCGTGCTAATTTGACAGTGTCATATTATCTAAACTTGTAATATATCCTTATATAATAAGTTTCAAAGCAATTCATTAAAAAATGTAAAAGTTGTGGCTTTATTAAGTATATCAGTCATTTCACGTGTTGCACGCGCACGCACGTGCAGTCGTATGCGCGCAAAATGACCTTCGTTCCGCACACCTACACTACACACCTATTAACCCTAAAAAGGTTTTAGCTCAATTGGGTGAACAGTTTCTGAGAACACTCGCGGACAAAAAAGTACCGGAGAACAAATAAGAAAAAAAACTAGAAAGTCTGCTATTGCAAGCAATAGCATATGTCGCCCCGTATTGGACAAGACTTTCATTTTTATCATCACTAAAACAATGGTCCATTAGCTAAGCTTTGACAACCATCCAGTCGTATGATCAGTTCTTTCCGTTAATAACGGAAGACCTTAATTGGGTACATCCCACTCATTAGTGCAGGAAAAAAATTACAAGTCCAAAATTGCAGACTTGCATACAAGAAATTGGGCAGATGTACTGAACTGAGCCTCATACTTGTTAACTGGCAGTATCTTTCCTACCAAAAAAGCTTGGCAAATATTATTTATTAAGAAGATCAGCCGAATTATTTTGTGTATTAAAACGCCAGTGAGAATTCAGAACAATCGGAGTTCCTCGGATGACTCGTACCTCGCACATAATGGAGCGTAGCGGAGTCAGCCGAGGATTGCCGATTGAATTCAGAAAATTCCCTACTTTCACTTTAATTTCTGGAGGTTCTGCCGGAAAACAAATCTGACATGCCACCTTCAATTCGAGCATTTCTGCACTGTACAGGTCTGATGTTTCTTATGAGATGATAAATCATGTGTAAACTTTCTCAGTTTAGCGGAATCATGAACATTTTCGGCGAGATGAATGTTTTGTTTACAGTAGTGATCAAGGCTTAGCGCACCTGTATAGGAGCGGATCCAAAGATTTATGAATGAATAAAAACTATGGAAATAACGTACCAATTTTCTAATTTATTCTTGCACTATTTAATGAAATTAATAATATACAAGTAATAGATATACCAAAAAACGCGAAATGCTAATAAATGAAGTTGACAATCGTTATTTTTTATATAGAAAAAAACAAAATAATTATAAAATCTAGAGACAAGACAGAAGAAGAATGACTGTTGGCAAACTATCAAATCACATCAGGAGAACTGAATTTTATGAATGAAACTTTTAAAACGTTACCTGTAAATTGTATATGTTATATCTGTGTATTCTACCTGGCAGTGCGCTTCAAAAAGGGGGGGGGGGTTGTCTTGAACATAGTACCTTACGTTTGAACGGTAAGGGCTAGGGCTTTCGTATTTCAAATATGTAATCCTTGTGAAAAGAACTTTTATTGGACACCAAGAACTTTGACCCTTTGACCTAGACCTTGGAGAACACATGTGTACATCTGAATCTTTTTTTCTTTTTCGTTTCTATGGCAACTGTGAGCGACTCATTACAATTTTTTTAAAAGTAGAAATCACTTTGACACATTGCAAGGAATAAACACTGAAAGTTTCAAAACGATTGCCTGCGTAGTTATTGAGAAAATTGAAATTAAAGAATTTTAACTTTCACCTGGTTTCCATGGCAATAATCGATTATTTGAAAATTTTAAATGCGAGTTGCATAACTACAGATACTAATCATTAAAATAAGAAAAGTTTCATGACGAACGTTTAAGGGACCAGAGAGAACACTCTCGGACAAAATTTGTCGCTTTTTACAGGTTTCCATGGCAACGGTAGACATATTGGAACTGAACAACCTCACTGCACAACTACAACCAGTGATCGTCCTTTGAGGAAAGTTTCAGGAAGATTGTCCCAGCCATCTCCGAGAAACAGCCTGGATAAAAAAAACATGCGTACAATATCAATATGTCGTCCCCGACTTCGTTCGGGGCGACATAATAACTCCTGAATTTTTCCCATCAATAACTCCTGAATTTTCCCCTTCAATTCGAGCATTTCTGCACTGTACAGGTCTGATGTTTCTTATGAGATGATAAATCATGTGTAAACTTTCTCAGTTTAGCGGAATCATGAACATTTTCGGCGAGATGAATGTTTTGTTTACAGTAGTGATCAAGGCTTAGCGCACCTGTATAGGAGCGGATCCAAAGATTTATGAATGAATAAAAACTATGGAAATAACGTACCAATTTTCTAATTTATTCTTGCACTATTTAATGAAATTAATAATATACAAGTAATAGATATACCAAAAAACGCGAAATGCTAATAAATGAAGTTGACAATCGTTATTTTTTATATAGAAAAAAACAAAATAATTATAAAATCTAGAGACAAGACAGAAGAAGAATGACTGTTGGCAAACTATCAAATCACATCAGGAGAACTGAATTTTATGAATGAAACTTTTAAAACGTTACCTGTAAATTGTATATGTTATATCTGTGTATTCTACCTGGCAGTGCGCTTCAAAAAGGGG